TTATCCAAATGGGAGCTTTTGCAAAGACCCCGAATCAGAGCATTGTAAATGGCAGTATCTGCAGGAAAGCCGACTTCTTTCATTTCTTTTAATACAACTGCTGCTTTTCGCGTCATCTTTAGTCTACACAAAACAGTAATTAAATTATGATAAACAATTGCATTCAAGGTAAGTCCCAAGGCCACGAAATATAAATAAACTCGCCCTGTATGGTTGATGGCAAATGTACTAAAAAATTTCCAAAGAAGTTCGTTGATTCCAAAGTGTCATTTCAAATTGATGGCAAATGTACTAAAAACAGTGTGGCAATGGCGGGGTATTTATATTCTTTTAAACATTGCTCTTCATCTAACTTTTAATTAAATACTGACCAGTTATCCAATCAAGGGTGTTGTCTGTTTATCACTTCAAAAAAGCGTTAAGTCACATTAATTCGGTCATGACCAGTTATATATTGTTGTCTCCCGTGTCACTAATCGCGGGTCGATGGCATCTAATTATATGTTATTTTCATTTATTCTTCTTGAATAATATTTACAGAATATTGAGACATGGGAAATGCAAGTTTTCGTTGTATGTATTGTGGTTCGATGTTTTGGTATGAGGAGAGGAAAGCTTATTATCAAAATGTAGTTGTCCCTGAGTACACTAGTTGTTGCATTAATTGCAAAATTCAACTTCATTTTTTGCAAAATCCTCCCCAATTTTTACAAGATTTGCTTCGTGGAGATGGCGAGTTGAGCAAACATTTTCGAGACAACATACGTTCTTATAATAGCATGTTCGGTTTTACATCTTTGGGTGGGAAGATTGATTCAGATATCAATAAGGGTACCGGCCCACCAGTGTTTTCTTTGCATGGACAGAACTATCATCTTATCGGTAGTTTGCTTCCTTCTGAAGGTGCATGCCTGAAGTTCGCACAATTATATATATATATATATATGATACGGAGAATGAAGTTTCAAACAGAATGAATTCCGTGAGGTATAAATTCACTCTACTTGATATTCAACATTTTTGTAAATATTTTATATTTTTTTACTCATATATACTGTTCAAAATTTTATCTGTTATATATTGATAATTGTTATTATTTTCTTGCAGGAACGGATCTGGAAATAATAATTTGCATGAGGAAATAGTTGTTGGTTTGAAACAAATGTTGGATCAACACAACGAACTGGTGAAATCATTTCGTATGGCTAAGGATAGAATGCAATAGCATGGCGAATCAAATCTTCGAGTCCGTTTGATTGGTAGGAGATATAAAGATGTCAGACAATATAATTTGCCTACGAGTTCAGAAGTTGCTGCATTGGTTGTTGGTGATTTTGACCTGGCAATGGGTGAAAGGGGCATATTGGTCGAAACTATGAACGGTCATCTTGAGCGAATAAATGAACTTAATGCTTCGTATTTGGCATTACAATATCCTCTTTTGTTGCCTTATGGTGAGGATGGTTATCGAGAGGACATACCGTTTCGGGAAGGCACGAAGGTAAAGAAAGGGGGGCGAAAATATGTCAGTGTACGAGAATACTTTGCGTTTAGAATGCATGATCGAGAACATGAAGCATCGACTATTGTTTCATCTAGAAGATTGTATCAACAGTTTATTGTCGATGCTTATACCATGGTAGAATCTGCGAGGTTGCGATATATACGTCTCAATCAAAAGACGCTCCATTGTGATTTGTACAGTGGTGTGGCTGAGGCCGTTCTCCGTGGTGACACTGATCCAAGATCGATAGGAATAAGAGTAATTCTTCCGTCATCTTTCACTGGTGGTGCTCGCAACATGATTGAAAACTATCAAGATGCGATGGCAATTTGTAGATGGGTTGGGTACCCTGATTTGTTTATAACACTCACCTGTAACCCCAAATGGCCAGAAATATTGCGTTATCTCGAGCCAAAAAATTTGAGACCCGAGGATCGACCAGATATCGTCTGTAGGGTCTTTCGAGCAAAACTTAAGGAATTGATTAGGGATTTTTCTCAAAAGGAAATCTTTGGGAAGGTTGTAGCAGGTGAGCCATTTGATAATGGTAATATAATTGTGACAACATATTTATTAATCATTTACAAAATATACATTTGACATTTATTTAATATTATATAATAATATTAACTACAAATTTATGTTGCAGTTATATACACGATCGAATTTCAAAAACGTGGATTACCTCATGCTCATATACTGCTCTTCCTTGCTAAGGAGGCCAAATTTCCCAACCCATCGGACATAGATAGAATCATATCTGCAGAGATACCAGATGAATCGACTGATCCTCTATATTACGAGGCGGTAAAGGAGCATATGATTCATGGTCCGTGTGGTCTGGCAAACAAAAACTCGCCCTGTATGGTTGATGGCAAATGTACTAAAAAATTTCCAAAGAAGTTCGTTGATTCTACAACTGTTGACGAAGACGGTTATCCACGTTATAGACGTCGTGACAATGGAACATCTCTGGAAAAGAATGGTATTGTTGTTCACAATGGATATGTCGTGCCTCATAATCGTCATCTGCTTATGAAGTTTGGAGCACATATTAATGTGGAGTGGTGCAATCAATCTCGATCTATAAAATACCTATTCAAATATGTCAACAAGGGTAATGATCGTGTGACTGCATCATTCTATCAAACCTCTGCTGAAGGGGATCTTGAAAGACCGTTGGATGAGATAAAAATGTATTACGATTGCCGGTACATTTCCGCGTGTGAGGCTGCATGGCGGTTGCTGGGTAATGAGTTGCAGTACAAAAAACCTCCCGTTCAGCGTTTGAACTTTCACTTATTTGGAGAACAAAACCTTTTATTTGACGAAGATGTTGATCTTCAAGATGTTATCA